TCAAGATTTGAGTTCTTGAAGTGTCCTTGAGATTTTCTTCAAAGATCTATGAATTTCATGATGTTGGAGGATTAAGAGATGTACTAAATGAACCAAATCTATCAAAGAAAGGCATTTAATTCTTACCTAGATGCATTAATAGTATGGAACTCCTCTCTCTCCAAGACTTCAAAGACATTGGCCAAAATAAAATACCAATCTCCTCCCGTAATTGCCTTTAAAAAGACTTCAGAACTCGGACGCCGCAAGGGACGCATCGCATGCTTCATAGCGTGCCCTGTCCCTTCAGCTTGTGCCGATGCCAAGGTTGGCGCTATGGCTGGAGTTCACTGCCAACATTGTGGCAACTAAAGAAAATTGGACGTTATGGGGATGCGTCGCATCAACCTCGGCGAGCATCACCTGTAGCTACTTCTTGATGCAATGATCTGCCAATGCCAATGTAATCCATTTGACACCAAATTTCCTTCCTCTCCCTAATTCCTGTTCACTTTGATGCTTTGCTTTGGGAATTAACGTTAATTTCCCCTTTTGACTTATTTGTGATCTAACATCTTTATTTGCAGGTTAATCCATGATTTATCCTTCAGGGATTAAAATTTCCAAGCTCAATATTGGTTCGATTAATTATAGAAATTCGTGGGGCTTCACACTAAAAATAGTCGGTAAAGGTATATAATATGTGCATAATTTATGTATTATACATGTATAATCAATGTATTAATTATGAATATGGCTAGAAAAAATGAATAATGAATATGGACTGCTATTTGTGTAAAGATCCCGTGTGATGACCCGATAGGTCATCTAGATTCTTATAACTTAATTCTGTGTTTCGAAGCCTCCAATAGCTTCTTTAAGCCTTCCTCGATTTGCATGCACGGTCCGAGTGTTTTTCCGGGAAGGCTTTTATTTTAAAAAACTGATAAAATATGAAATTTTGCTTCAAAAATTTATTTGAGTTGACTTCGGTCAACGTTTTGGGCAAACGGACCCGGATTCGTATTTTAACGGTCCCGGTGGGTCCGTATCGTGATTTGGGACCTGCGCATATGCCCGAAATCGAATTCGGAAGTCCCTAGCTCGAGTAATTAAATTTTGTTGAAAATTGAAAGTTTAAAGGTTTAATGATTTTTAAGAATTGACCGATCTTTGATTTTGTTGATACCGGGTCCGTATTTTTGGTTCCGAAACTCGGTACAGGTCCGTCACTATATTTATGACTTGTCTGTCAAATTTGGTGAGAAACAGAGTTGGTTTGAGGTGATTCGAACGTTAGGTTGTTAAAATAGAATTTTTAAAGATTTCTTGAAAATTTTATTTGATTTGGTGTCTGATTCGTAGTTCTAGGCGTTATTTTGGTGTTTTGATCGGGCAAGCGAGTTCGTAAGAGATTTTGAACTTGTGTGCATGTTTGGTTTGGAGCCCCGAGGGCTCGAGTGAGTCTCGGATAGGCTACAAATGGTTTTAGACTTAGAAAATTTGGTGTTTTCCTCAGCTTCAACTGTCATCTGGTTTCTTTCTTAGCGATCGCAAAAGAACTATTGCTATCGCGAAGAGTGAACTGGGCTGTGTGGGTTTTTCTTCTACGTGAACGCGAGACACTGGTCATGAACGTGGAGAAGTGGGGGTGCCTACTCTATGCGAACGTGGCTTGTCACACACGAACGCGTAGTGTATTGAGGTGGGGGTAGGGAATCTGGGGTGACTCTATGCGAACGCGAGTCCAGTCTCGCAAACACGGGCGTTAGGCGGGCTATACCTTCGCGAACGCGTGGAGTATCCCACGATCGCTTAAGCCAAACATGCTCTGCTCTTCGCGAACGCGTCAGGGTTCACGCGAACGCGATGAACACCTGATGCCAGTGATTAAAACAGTCCCAAAAACGGGATTTTGCCCATTCTTTTAAAATTTCAAAACTAGAAAACCTTAGAGGCGATTTTCCCAAGAACTTTTCTTCCCAATTTGTTGGTAAGTGATTCTACCCTACTTCCTTCAATTACCCATTGCATTTCATAAGATTTCCACCTAAAATCTTGAATTTTTATGGTAGAAATTGAGATTTTGGGTAGAATTAGGGATTTTTGTAAAATTGAAATTTCGACCTCAAATTGAGGTCGGATTTCGAAACAAATTACATAATCGGGCTTGGTGGTGAATGGGTAATAGGGATTTGTTCCAAATTTTTGGTTTTGACCAAGCGGGCCCGGGTCGATTTTTGACTTCTTGGGGAAAAGTTTGGGAATTCCAAATTTATGCATTGTAATTAATTTCTTTAGCAATATTTGATATTATTGAGTCAATTGTGGTTAGATACGAGTGGCTTGGAGGCGGATTCTAAGGGAAAGGCCCGGTAGAGCTTTGAATTGATTGCGGGGTGAGGTAAGTGTTGAGTTTAACCTTGACTTGAGGGAATTAGGAACCCTCGGACTATGTGCTATGTGAATTCCATATGTTTTGGCGTATATGCGAGGTGACGAGTGCTTATACGCCGTCGAATTACCTGTTTTCTCTGATTTTTCGCTTTTCCTTAATTATCTCCTTCCTTGTCTTAAATGTTATATGCTCTAAATACCTTCCATGTTTATTTGCTACATGTTAATCTATGTTTTCTTCTGTTAATAATGTTAGATCCTTTCATATTTTCATGATTCACTGTTACTTGCCTTAACTGACTTACTTGCACCTTCTAATTGTTATTTACCGGACTTGACTTGCTGTGTAGTATTACCTGTGTGAATTTCCATGTTGTACAAGGTTTCCCTTTGGTTCAGCTTGGTATTTATTGATCGTAAATGTTCTGGCGATTTGACTGATTAATTTGACTGTGTACATTGAGTATTTGGTACTGATATAGTGAGATCGAGTTGCACGCCACAACATGTGAAATAAGGATGGACCGATATGGTGGAATAAGGGTGAACTTGTACTGATAAGGTGAGATCGGGTTGCATACCGCAACAGGTGAATAATGGTGGATTGTTACGGTGAAATAAGGGTGAATTATGATATTGATATTGTTATATGGTGAGATCGGATTGCGTACCGCAGCATATATATTATTTATTGTTGTTGATGTTGTTACAGTGAAATAAGGAAGGATTGTGTCGTATGGTGGAATCGGGTTGCGCGCCGCAATAACCTATGTGTTTCTATTTCCTTGAGCTGAGTTGGTTTTCACTATTTTCATTTGAAACTCTAAGGATTAGTAATTCTAAACGTTACCGGCTTATTTATCGATGATGTAGCTACTATTTTCAGTTGACTGTCTTATTTCGTTCTGTGTTTCCTTTTCTGTCTTTATTATATGCTGCGTACATGTTGTAGTGTGAGTGACCTGCCTTAGCCTCGTCACTACTTCGCCGAGGTTAGGCTCGGCACTTACAGAGTACATGGGGTCAATTGTACTCATACTACACTCTGTACTTCTTGTGCAGATTTTGGAGTCGGTCCTAGCGGCGGTTATTAGTGTGCTCGGATTGGACAGCTTGTGGAGACTTGAGGTACAACTGCTTAGTGCCCGCAGCTCCTGGAGTCCCCTTTCCTTTTTGTTTAGCTGTGTACTTTCCTTTCAGACGGCTTTATGTTATTTCAGACCCTTATTTGTACTATTCTAGTAGCTCGTGCACTTGTGTCACCGGGTCCAGGGTTGTATCCGACGTTTGGCTATTTTAGCTTCCGGATTTTACTTTGGATTATTGCAGTTATTTCAGTTCTTTCTCATTAACTAATTTAAACTGTTAAAAATGGATAAATTGTTCTAATGTTGGCTTGCCTAGCAAGTGAAATATTAGGCGCCATCACGGTCCCAACGGTGAGAATTTCGGGTCGTGACATCCCGTTAATAAAAGACAATAACATTATTTTATGCGAAAAATCCAATTAAAGAGATACGTTATTTTCTCCTAAAGAATCTACGTATACCATTTATTTTGGCACTGTCGACTATTTAAAGAAAAAGGTAATTTCCACTAAGTTTTTTTAGTTGAAAAGTCAAATGCTAATCATAATTAACTTAATGAGCTGAAAAGTAGATGAAAATATTCCAGCCTCAGAACCCACGGCGTCACGTGACTATTGATCGAGAAAATTCACGACATAGATCCAATGCTGGTGACCAATAATTATTTATTTTCTCTTTTTGGCTTTATTGTTATTTATTGTTGAAATAATTACCAAAAATTATTATGGAAAGTTGTGGCAACTTTTTAAATTCTCCCAATAATAGCCAACCTATCATGTACTAAATGATTACATTGGTTCTTGTTCATATTATATTATATGTTTTTAAATTGGCGGTCTTCATTTAGATAAGATATACTTTAAATTTAATTTCTTCTTTATTTTCTTTGAAAGCTCAAATGTATAAAGCCTATGCGAGAAGACTCTCATTGAGCGTCGGTTGGAGATGGAGGTCTATTTTTTACATAATTTAATTTTAGATAAAAGGTAAAACAAAATACTCTTAAAATTTAGAAATTTGAAGGTCAAACAGAAACTTTTAAAAATTAATGTAAGAAATAATTTATATTTAGTGAATTAGAGAAAAATATTTGGAAAATTTAGAGAGAAACAGTTTAAGGTACCTTGCGTTTCTAAATAGCATCAATTATTTATAACGAAATGAAATTATTAGACCATTAAACATAGTTGAAAGTTTGACGGTGCTATAGGTATTTGAAATAATGCTTTATTGTTTAATATAAAAAATTATTTTAGAGACATCCCTTAAATTTGACATATTAATACTAATCTATTATGTGGTTTGCGAGATTACGGTTGCTTTATTTTGATTTGTCTGTAATAATTATTTTTAACGAATATCTTCTTAAAGAGATTCCTTAGAAAATTCAATGCCGAAATCATGAATTTTGAAACCGGAAATGTAAACAAAATTAAAGAGGGAAAAAGAAACGGAAATTTGAGTATTTAGATTTTAGAGGGTAAATTGGTCATTGTACATCCACCATACATACTCGATTCCTGTCTTCCTTGCTCGTCACTGTTGCTCTTTCTCACTCGGAATGAAATAACCACCAACCGTCAGAACAAATACAGCTCACACACAAAGACACAAAAGGGGGGGAACAAACAACAACCCAAATAAAACCACTCTCTAAATTCTCCCACTCCTAACACACTCCTTTCTCCTTGCTCTGTATATATAGATCTAGAGAGAGAAACCCAGAGATCTAGAGAGAGAGAGAGAGAAGAATGACGGAAGCAGCAATGGAGAGTGGTGGCAACCCAGTATTATCAGTATCTGATTCTGCTCCACCACAAGCCTTACTTGAAAGGCTCAAAGATTATGGCCAGGAAGACGTTTTTTCTCTCTGGGATGAGCTTTCGCCTGATGAAAAAGATCTCCTCGTCAAGGATATTGAGGTCTTTTAGATCCCTTTCTCCTATTCCTAACCTATTTAGTTCATTTTTTGAAGTATAATTTGTTTCCTTGAATTAGTTTTTCTTTGTTTTTGTTACAATGTGAATTACCTGATTACTATTGCTTATGTTTTTCTTTGATTATTCAGTAGAATTTTGGTTTGATTAGTTTGGTCATGAAATGTTTAGGTTGAATGTTATGGTTTATACATTTGTTGGATTATCTGTCAGTTGATATTGTGAATTACATTTCTTTTTTTAAAAATTTGGGTACTACTGATAAAGTGGTGATTTTTAACATGGAAGTAATTTATTGCAGAATATAGATCTCCCTAGGATTGATCGGATCATTCGGTGTTCATTTCATTCACAAGGTCGGTGCCAACAACACTTCTTTTTGTCTAATGAAGAAAAAAAAAGTAAATATTGTTTACCTTAAAACTTAACGAGTATATCTGAAACATTCTGTTCAATATTGGGTTTCAGGACTCCCAGCAGCGGCAATAGAGCCAGTGCCGGAGAGTTGCGTGTCGACTGTGGAGGAGAGGACAATGGAAGAGCGAGAGAAGTGGTGGAAGATGGGCATGAAGGCCATGGCAGAAGGCAAATTTGCCGTGCTGCTTTTGTCTGGTGGTCAGGTAAATGTTACTTATGACTTTAGGACATTCTTGGCTTTGAAGCATAGTAGTCCTCTTTGATGATTTTTACTCGGTCCAGCTGGAAATGTAAAGGTGTCATAAATTTGGTGGCTGACTTGGATTGGTTAACTACTTTGGTATGCATTTGTTATCATGTAGTCTCATGAGGATCTATGCAACAATTATGGAATTCTTGACTTAACAGAGGCTACGAAAGTAGGCTATGATAATGGTTATGCATAGCAAGTTGCTTTAGAAGATGTTTTCTCTAGTGAGATCTGGATCCCTGACAACCATTTCATGTATAAAGTAAGAACAAGTGTATCAGCATATTCTTTAAGTAAGAAAAAGTGTATTAATGTGGTTGAGGTTCTTATAAGAACGGGGCACCACGGACCCTACAATCTGATTTATTACTATCTGTCTCGTTTGATATAGATTGTAAACTTTGCTCTGATTTATTTACTATCTACTCATTTTGATATATATTGAAAACTTAGTGCATGTATCTACTCGTGGTTTAACCATCTCACTCAACTTACCAATTCGTGATAAGAAATATTTAGTGATCCTAAATATTTTATCTTATCTTTGTAGTATATCTACATAAGAATTGCCTCTTTTTGCTTGCTCTTTGATGGCCTGATTGGTATCTTCTCGCTTGGTGCTTGTACTTACAAAAATAGTTATATCCATTCAAATTAATAAAAAATTATTTCCATAAAAATATCATAATAATAATAGTAAATTTATTATTTTAAATTTAAAGATAAATATTCAAAAATATAACTTAAAATATAAGATTAATTTTTGAATGTTTTAAAGAAATTTCTTGACCATGTTCCTGTCAGTAATTAGTTATTCGTAGTTTTTTCAGTAATATCTGGTTTATTCAAATACTCAGCCTTCGTCTTTTTCCTTTTCTTCTCTGAGGGCAAGCAATAATGGTGTCCTTGTAATCAAGATGCCTTTTTCATTTTATAACTGGAGCTTTCTTTTCCTAGTTTATTTTTTCGCTTTATCTTAAATGTTGTGCATTAGGATTGAGGAGAAGTTAGAGATACCGTCACTGGTTTAACTTGAACAACTTTTCGTGTGCATTAAGAACTTTTCCTCTTGTTTCTGAAAGAAATTATAGTGAAGACAATATCCATTGGAGCCTGTTATATCTTTGATGGGTATGGCATGACATAGGATGATTTTTCCTAAAACTTTTGGCTTGTGATGCTTACTTTGTTATTCCAAAGTTCTAATATAGGTGATAGGTGTTCTGAGTCCTCTGACTGTTCTGAATCCTCTAGTCTAAACCTTGAGAATATGACTTTTTGATGCAGGGAACTCGACTTGGTAGTTCAGATCCCAAAGGATGTTTCAGTGAGTAATTTTTAATTTATTTAACATCTTTATGAGTTGCCAAATTTGCTAAATTTTTTATAGATCTTTTGTGGTGATTTCCTTCAATTACACTCAATGATGTAGCTTACAAGATGTACAACATTTGTTATAGTACCTTATTCATAATGATTTCCTGTTAACAATATGTTCCCACAGTTTTTGGCACTTTGTTAATTCTGTGGTAGTCATGCAGAAAATATAAAAATAGGTTGATTTAGAAAGTGCCAAAGATGTTGTTCATCTATTTTTATAATATAACGCATTTTTCACATAAAACTTCATTACTTTCTTTTTGGTTGGATTGACATCTAGCTTCCTCCTTTTCTCTGTAAAAGGGAAGGATGGCTGGAAATAGAATGGGGAAAATAAAGCTTCTACTTATTCGTGTTATCTTTTTCTACCAGATATTGGACTTCCATCAGGGAAGTCGCTTTTCCAACTTCAAGCTGAGAGAATTTTGTGTATTCAAAGATTAGCAGCTATAACTGCAAATGAGGGTGAGCTTCTCCTTTGATGCCCTTGGATGTTAGCTCATGCGTACACACTCTAAGTTATCCTTAGTGTTCAGGTGCTGGCATTGTTCCGATACAGTGGTACATCATGACCAGTCCGTTCACTGATGAAGCTACACGTAAATACTTTGAAAGTCACAAGTATTTTGGCCTTGAAGCAGAACAAGTAGGATTTCATTTCTTTTTCTTCCGTCTCATTTTATCTTAATTAATCTGAGAGTATTATGGTTTTTAATCTTGTTAGCATTAAAGAAATCCTTTTCTAATTCAGGTCACCTTCTTCCAACAAGGGACCATACCTTGTGTTTCAAAGGATGGAAGATTTATTATGGAGACCCCGTACAGGGTAGGTCACTTCTTTCTTTAAACAAAAAAAGGTTCTATCACATGCTTTCACGAAGTCAGGCATCAAATCTCAAGCATATCTTCAAGCTGCAATGTTTAGTGAAAGCATTTTACAAGCATATCTTCAAGCTGCAATATTTAGTGAAAGCATTTTACAAGCATATGCAGACTTTTTACTGCTACTGATGAAAACTATAATTGTTCCAGAATTAACTTTGCACACGTGAAATATATCCTGCTTGTTTAACCTCGCTATTGTAGAGTTCCATGTCCAACTAGAGATGTTTTCATTACTTCTTTTTTCCGGATTATATTGAATTTGTCAATCTTTATTAAAAGATGGTTACATATCATTGTCATTTATTTTTTTTGATTGCCAGTCAGTAAACTTCTGTGCTAGTAACCGATGAATTACAGTAGCATTATGACTTGACATCCTTAGGATTGGATTTACTGCGGAAATTTTGTTGCGCTTGCTGATTTGTGTCAGAATTGTACAAAGGGATCTGGATAGTTTGAAATTCCTGGTAAAAGAAGTCTATGAAATCAAATAGAGCTTCTGAGCTTGATTCCCTTGGTTGGGGAAATTAGAAGGTCTGCCAGTAATTGAATTCAAAAACACATCATTTTCGTTGAATCTCTTTAACAGAATTAATAATCTGTCATTTCGGCTGTGGATGGTTCTTTGTCTCTCTCTCTCTCTAGCCCCCTCTGAGAGGTAATTTGAGGGAGCAAAGAGGCAAAGAGTGCAGTGACCTATTGACTAAGCAATCTCTTAATGTTGTATTTTTCCTGCAGTTGCTGATAGTAAGAGTTATACCAGTTTCTACTCAGTAATATTTCTGTATTTCCATATGTATTTTCTTTTGTTTTATTACCTTAGTTTTATCAGAAACATATATATTGTTGCTCCACTTGTGGCTATATTCTAAAAGTGTTAATAGTTATTAAAGCTTTTCTATTGAAGCAGGTAGCAAAGTCTCCAGATGGAAATGGTGGAGTTTATACAGGTACAGCCATACCTAACTCTTTTTTTTTTTTGTTGTGATAAGGAGCTAGATCTTACTCTCTTTGGGCTATATCTCACTTTAAGGGTGATGTAATCTCTCAGTGCGGTAGAGTACTACTTGTGAACTTGTACGATTGGACAGCTGTTATTTGCGTGTAGTTTTCATACTGTATTGAAGTAATCCAATTGAAGTTTGAAATTGTCCAGCATTGAAGTATTCAAGATTACTGGAAGACATGAACTCAAGAGGCATTAAGTATGTGGATTGCTATGGAGTTGACAATGCTTTGGTAATTTGTGCTTTTCTTATCCTTCCATCTATAATATCATTTTCCCTTCAACTGAAATTTCTAGCAATTTAATATTGTTGAATTTTTTTTTTGTGGAAGCAGGTTCGAGTGGCAGATCCTACCTTTTTGGGTTATTTCATTGATAAAGGTGTCTCCGCTGCCGCAAAAGTTGTACGGAAGGTGAATAGTTTCGTTTTTTGTTTTTTTCCAGAAACATTCAACTCTTTTTACATTCAATATAGAATTTGAGAGGGTAGGTAGTAGTTATAGAATTTGAGTGGGTAGAATCTGATTTCCAACCCCGTATCTGCTCAGGATGCCAATCAGAGGTTTCATGATATTGTTGCTTGAACGTTGTTTGGATTTTACATTTCTGCTATGCTTACCCCTCTTATAGTGTATCACAATTTAGAACTCTCATCATATAATTCTTGAGTAGGACACTATTCTAAAAGAAGTTATTGTGTATACATATATTGATATTATCCACTCTGATTGTAGGCCTATCCACAAGAGAAGGTTGGTGTGTTTGTCCGTCGAGGTAAAGGTGGACCACTCGCTGTGGTTGAGTATAGTGAGTTGGATCCTTCACTGTGTAGTGCAGTAAACCAGGAAACAGGACGTCTTCGCTTTTGTTGGAGCAATGTAAATTTCACATGTCTTCTTTCTATTTCTGCCTTCACCATTCTTTCCTTTAGATATGTCTCTCTGATTCTTCCCTTTACAAATATTTCAGTGGAATTCTACTAACATTTTATCTCATGTCTTTCCAGAAGCACTCTGTTAATTTATGTCATTATAATAGTTTTAACAGGATGAAACTTGAATTTTGTGTATCTTCTTGCTTCACTTGCAAATAATTAAGGTTGTTGTTTTCAACAGACAACTATATTATACACCTTGTAGATTTTAGTGGAGAAAAAGTGGAGTTTTTATGAGTCACAGAGAGCTGTCACTAAATCTTCTATATCAAACTTTATTGCTACCACTGTTGTTCTGATAATCTCATTACCATGCTAAAGAGCAGTTGATGAGAAAAATGTACCTCTATCTTTAATTGTAAGGAAACATTTCATAATACACCTTCTTTTCACTCCAGTGAGTTAGTTGGAGAAATTCAGATTTCTATGCATGAACAATTTCTGCTGGAACTAAGCTTTTAGACCAGCGTTTCAAGAAATAACGAAAAGCTTCAATATTTCCAACCAATGCTGTATATAACAACTAAAATTTTCTCATTTGTGAAGATATTCCCTTTGATTTGTGGGATAAAAAATATATACCCCACAATCCTTCTGATCTCTGAAAAATATATGAAGATTAGTTACCCGGAGTAGGGGTAAGGTCTGCGTACACACTACCTTCCCCAGACCCCACCTGTGAGATCTCACTGGGCTGTTGTTGTTGTTGTTACCAAAAGTAAAGAGAAAAAAAAGGTGGATCTAATGGACCTTGTGAAAATAGCAAAGTTGTCTTGTTTGCATGTTTGTTCTCTCACGGATACCTTTTCGATTTACTTGTGCATTTTACTTTTCAGGTCTGCTTACATATGTTTTCTTTAGATTTCCTGAATCAAGTGGCAAATGGCCTTGAGAAAGACAGCATGTGAGTAATGCTTTTCTTCCTTCATATTGGTTGTGTTTGGTTGTGTTAAAAATACAAAGTTTTGACTTTAATGGTTATTTTTGGAAACAATAAATTATTTACATTGCTGTAGTAGTAGCGTAAAGGCCGTAAGCCAGGCATGCGGATGACATACGACTATTACTTTTCGCACCTGCAGATAGAGACCCTTTGCATGAGCAACCTGACTATACCTTACAAATTATTTACATATTTTGACTATCTTTTCTCTTACTAAACCTATCACAACCTCCTCCTTTATTTGGACTCTTGGGAGCAGCTAAGTTCTGCAATCATAGTGTTACGAACCTATTAGCTTAGTGTTAGCTTACTTACAAATTCCAGTAGTTAAATTGAGCCAAGTTAGTTAATTGAGTCCAAGTTAGTTAGAGTTAGTTGGAGGGTAATTGGGATTTGGAAGTTTCCGGAAGTTAGTTATAAACTAACTTTCCCGCCCAAACACTTTAGCATATAATCGAGCATCTCTGTGTAATTGAAGGCTATGAAAGTGAATATTAATAAAATCTCAGTCTCTTTTCTCTCTCAACCCATACTCAAATCTCCATTTGAGCTTAGGGGTCTGTTCAAGGGTAATTCTCCCATATTTTACCCTTTAGGATTCCTTTTTCTTCTGATTCTTGTCATCATTTTCACGAGATCGTATCATTGGTATCAGAGCCTTCAATCTTTGGATCTGTGACTATGGGCGATCACAACACTCGAATGCACGAGTTAAGGAAAGAGGTCGATAGCCTCAAGGGATCAATTGAAGCAGTTACCTCGTCTGTGACAGAGTTGCAGAAATCAGTGGATATCCGGGTAGCCCAGGCTATGGAGGAAATTAAGAAGTTATTGGTGGGAAGCATGACTACAACTGGAGCCCAAAATCGTGAATATCCTGTGGAGCACGAAAGACCGGAGGTGGTAGGCCATCGCCCTATAGGCCATCAAACTCCTAATCGTGATTATCACACAGAGTTTCCTGCTTTTGATGGAGTGGGATTAAAGGATTGGTTGTATAAATGCGAGCAAATTTTCGCTTATGAGGAGATACCAGAAGACTCTAAGGTGAGAGCAGTGTCATGTAAGTTGGAAGGAAGAGCACTACAGTGGCACCAATCCTACATGAAGCATAGAGTGACTAGGGATTGGCCTCGATGGGGTGAGTATGTGGCTTGTTTGTATGCGAGGTTTGGGTCCGAGCTTTTCGATGATCCAATGGGGGACCTCAAGGACCTAAGACAGGTAAATTCTGTACAGGATTATGTTGATTTGTTTGATGAATTGCTGACTAGGGTAGAATTATCTGAAGAGTATGTTGTTAGCTGCTTTATTAGGGGATTGAAGCCTGAGATTGGCCTTCCTGTTAAAATGTTGGCTCCTAGATCTTTAGCTAAAGCTATTAGTTTGGCTAGGATTCAGGAACAAACGTTGGTAGTGCAGAAACAAGTTTTTATGACTCCATCGAACTCTTCTTTTTCCACCAGGAACACCTCAAAACCACCTTCTGTCATTCCCCATCTTTCTTCTTCAAACAATGCAGTCATCCCTAAATTTAGCCAACCTCTTAATAAAAACCCCAATTCCCATCCCTTACATGATAAACCTACCTATAAAAATCCTAAGAGACTTACACCTGCTGAAATGGAGGATAGAAGAAGTAGAGGATTATGCTACAACTGTGATGAAAAATATAGTTTTGGTCATGTGTGTAAAAATAGAAGGCAGTTATTTTCTATGGAGGTGGAGGAAGGATTGGATGATGTGGAGTTAGAACAGGAGATGATGTTGGATCCAGCTGAGTTGTTGACCATGATTGGTCAAGGTTTAGAGACTGATTCTGAGGGATCAATTCTGCCCCATGTATCCGTCCATGCTACGAATGGCTTACATAATTTTAGAACTATGAGAGTAACTGTGTCAATCAAGGGTAAAGCTGTACAAGTTTTGATTGACACTGGCAGCACACATAATTTCTTGGATCTCAATACAGCCAAGAAGTTAGGATGTGTCTTGACAGCCATAGCCCTTTTTGCAGTATCAGTGGCCGATGGCAATAAGGTGCAAAGCCACTATGTTTGCAAAAAACTGATGTGGAAGATGCAAGGGGTCACTTTTGACTCTGACATGCTGGTGTTGCCTATTGGAGGGTGTAACATGGTTTTGGGCATCCAATGGTTGATCACCTTAGGAGACATCATGTGGAACTTCAGGAAGCTTAAAATGGAGTTTACCATTATGGGCAGGAAGGTGTCTCTAAGGGGTATTCAACCCGCTGCTGCCAAGTTAATTCAGGCAGGAAGAATGGACAAGCTCTTGGCTAAACCAGCAGAACTGTGCATGATATCAGTAGGAGTATTAGCAGAGGAGAATTCAAGCATGAATATAGGGCTATTCTCAATAGAGGGCCATAATCAAGATCAGGAGAAGGCAGCAGACTTGGATTCAATTTTGCAGAAATACAAAGATATATTTGAGGAGCCTAAAGGGTTGCCACCTGCAAGAACACATGATCACAGGATTGTTTTGAAGGAAGGTACTGCACCAATTAACAAGAGACCTTACAGATATCCAGCTATTCAGAAGGATGAGATTGAAAAAATGGTAGATGACATGCTAAATTCTGGAGTTATAAGGCACAGTACCAGTCCCTACTCTTCCCCTATTGTAATGGTGAAAAAGAAGGATGGAACATGGAGAATGTGTGTGGACTATAGAGAGCTGAACAACAGTACAGTGAAGGATAAATTCCCAATTCCTATTATAGAGGAACTTCTAGATGAGCTACATGGAGCAAAATATTTTTCCAAGTTGGATCTAAGGTCTGGTTATCATCAAATAAGAATGTTTGAGCAAGACATCCCTAAAACAGCCTTTAGAACTCATCATGGCCATTATGAATTCATGGTCATGCCATTTGGCCTAACTAATGCCCCTTCTACTTTTAAAAGTCTCATGAACCAGGTCTTCCACAGTATCTCAGGAAATCTATTTTGGTTTTCTTTGATGATATTCTCATCTATAGTTCTAGTTGGTCAGATCACTTGGTTCATTTAGAGGAAGCCTTCCAGCTATTAAGATCTCATGTGTTATTTGTCAAGATGAGCAAATGTGCTTTTGGAGTTACACAAATAGACTACTTGGGGCATATCATCAGCAGTGAAGGGGTGTCCATGGATCAACACAAGGTGTCAGCAGTACTGAATTGGCCTCAGCCACAAACAATAAAAGAACTGAGGGGTTTCCTTGGCCTCACTGGGTATTACAGGAGGTTCATCAAGAACTATGGTCTGATTGCTAGGCCACTGCATGATTTACTCAAAAAGGGAAGCTTTGTGTGGAATGCATTGGCTACTGAAGCCTTTGAATCTTTAAAAAAGGCTATTACCTCTGCTCCTATTCTGACATTACCTGATTTTTCTAAGGAGTTTGTCATTGAAACTGATGCTTCAGGTGAAGGTATTGGAGCAGTATTGATGCAAGACAACAGGCCTATAGCCTTTTTCAGTAAAGGTTTATCTGGGAAGAATAAGGCCTTATCAGTATATGAGAAAGAATTACTAGCTTTGGTTTCTGCAGTTCAGAAATGGAGACCTTATATTTTGGGCAGGCACTTTGTGATCAAGACTGATCACCATAGTCTTAAATACCTGCTGGAGCAAAGAATCACAACCCCCAGCAAAGAATCACAACCCCTAGTCAACAGAAGTGGCTGGTCAAGTTGTTAGGATATGACTATACCATATCTTATAAAAAGGGGAAGGAAAACCTTGTAGCAGATGCTCTCTCTAGGAAGGGGGAATCCATTCAGCTCTTTAGTATCTCTGGGGTTTCTTCACAACTATTAGAGTCTGTTAAGCTAAGCTGGAACCAAGATCCACAACTGCAACAACTGATTCATAGTATTCAGTCATCCTCCAGTCCTAAACCTTATTATTCATTCATTGGTGGAATTCTCAGCAGGAAAGGCAAGATGATGGTAGGGGCTGATCCACCTTTGAGGAAGCAGCTCATAGCATTCTATCATGAAAGCTCTATGGGTGGCCACTCAGGAATCACTGCCACTTACAAGAGGATCAAACAGGACTTCTATTGGAAGAAGATGAAGCAAGATGTATACAGGCACATAAGGGAGTGTGACACTTGTCAAAGGTGCAAGGGTGAAAATGTAGCATATCCAGGCCTACTCCAACCCCTACCAATTCCTGAAAAGGTTTGGCAAGATATATCAATGGACTTCATAGAAGGCTACCAAAAGCTGCAGGCAAGGAAGTTATTTTGGTGGTTGTGGACAGACTGAGTAAAGCTGCCCACTTCATGGCACTTAAACACCCTTTTACAGCTCTGGATGTAGCTCAGGTGTTTATGGATGGGGTATTCAAGTTACATGGTATGCCCAAGACCATTATATCTGATAGGGACAAGGTCTTCACCAGTCGTTTTTGGCAGGAATTATTCAAATTGCAGAAGGTCTCCCTCTTAACTTCATCTGCCTATCATCCTCAAACTGATGGACAGACTGAGGTCGTTAATAGATGCTTAGAGTGCTACCTCAGATGCATGACCTTTGAAAAGCCAAAAGAGTGGCCCCTATGGTTGCCTCTAGCAGAATGGTGGTATAATACCACTTATCACTCAGCTACAAATATTACACCTTATAAAGCTGTGTATGGACAGAAGCCACCTCCACTCCTTCCATATATGCCTTTTGATTCTCAGTTAGATATGGTTGATAGAAGCTTGCAAGCCAGAGAAGCTACTTTAAGAGCCCTAAAACAACATCTGGAAAGGGCCCAGCACAGGATGAAGATACAAGCTGACAAGCATAGAACTGAAAGGTCTTATCAGGTGGATGGTTGGGTTTTCATTAAGCTTCAACCATATAGGCAGCTTTCCCTCAAAGACCATGCCTATCAAAAACTTTCAGCAAAATTCTTTGGTCCATTCAAAATACTAGCTAGGGTGGGACCTGTGGCTTACACTCTGGATCTGCCCCCTCACTCAAAAATACACCCCACTCTCCATGTGTCCTTGTTGAAAAAGAAGCTGGGAAACCACATTGCTTCTACTGTTTTACCTGAAGTTCATTCGGATTCTGGCCATGTATTATTGGAACCTGAAGCTATTGTGGATAGAAGGTTAGCCAAGAAGCAGGGGAGGGCCATTACTCAAGTCCTAGTAAAATGGTTCGATGCTCCACCAGAAGACAATACTTGGGAAGACCTGCACTCCTTCAAGCTCAAATTTCCACACTTTAATCCTTGAGGACAAGGATTTCGAAGGGGGGAGTGTTAGCTTACTTACAAATTCCAGTAGTTAAATTGAGCCAAGTTAGTTAATTGAGTCCAAGTTAGTTAGAGTTAGTTGGAGGGTAGTTGGGATTTGGAAGTTTCCGGAAGTTAGTTATAAACTAACTTTCCCGCCCAAACACTTTAGCATATAATCGAGCATCTCTGTGTAATTGAAGGCTATGAAAGTGAATATTAATAAAATCTCAGTCTCTTTTCTCTCTCAACCCATACTCAAATCTCCATTTGAGCTTAGGGATCTGTTCAAGGGTAATTCTCCCATATTTTAACCTTTAGGATTCCTTTTTCTTCTGATTCTTGTCATCATTTTCACGAGATCGTATCACATAGATGGAGTTGGCTAGGGAATATGAGTCTAAAAAAGTGTTGTGATATTATTGCAGTTATCATCTTGCTGAGAAGAAAATCCCATCAATTCATGGTCATACAATGGGATACAAACTGGAACAATTCATATTTGATGCTTTTCCTTACACACCTTCAACAGCGCTATTTGAGGTAATTGTAGTTCTATACTTGTTACAATACTTCCAGACCAGTCTATGCAGATCTGTTTAATGCCGGGACTTTGAAATGTTTTGTCTATATAGGTTGTTCGTGAAGAAGAATTTGCTCCAGTTAAAAATGCAAATGGAGCAAACTTTGACACTCCTGACAGTGCTAGATTGCTTGTTCTTCGTCTCCACACCCGTTGGGTGGTTGCAGCTGGAGGCTTCTTGACACATTCTGTGCCCTTATATGCCACAGGTAATTTGATGTTTGGGGGAGAAAATATTTTTGCGATGTTCATAATGCATGGTGGAAAAGAGTGTTTAATAACAGATGGTAGATAAATATAACTTTATCTTAAAGGTTAAATTATTATGACTCCAGTATCCATATGCCTTTCATTAGTTCCTTAAGATTAGGAGATCCAGATCCTCAAATTAGAAGCGGTTTAGTTTTACATATATTTGTACTTCTCATGGAAATACAAAGTCAAATGACGTTTAACCATAGACAGTTGTTGTCCTGGTAAGGTCTGGATAGTCCTGAGGCCAGGACTGGTAAATGGTGAACAGTAACTCCTTTTTAACTTTGCAAGAATGTGATGTAGCAAAAGTGTCTCACAGTCTTCTGAAGATTGCACTTGTAATTTTTCAGGTGTGGAAGTTTCTCCTCTTTGTTCATATGCTGGTGAAAACCTGGAAGCTATTTGCCGTGGAAGAACATTCCATGCACCATGTGAAATCTCGTTTTAGTTTGATTTTGGTTTCATTAAGTAAATGCCTGAAATTTTTCTCCATTTTACACAGTTCCTTTGATCGGATCACTTTTTTCTTAGTAGTAATTTTTATATGTGTACAAGGTTTGTCTTTTCATACTGGTGTAGACAATAGTGTAAGCGAGAATACTTGATACTAATTGAGAAAGCTTTGGCTTGTAACGACTTCAATATGTGTAATTTTCATTTAGGCCGATACAGGTTTTTCCTTTTTGTTATTGGAAAACATTAAATCCAAATACAATTGTCTCCAAATATAAGCACTTTAGACTCCTTTTTGTCTATTTTATTCTCGAAAAACCCAGAGTATTTTTATATTTTTGTGGAGTTCGACAGCTATAGACATCAACAATTTTAAGCCGTCCAGTTATATTTATCAATCAAATAAATCTGTTTGCTCAAAAGTTATTACATATCTTATGAGTGTAAAACAATACAAATAATCACGGGAAAATCATAGCAAATCGTAATAATCCGTTGGACCAAATGAAAGAAACGAGAATAAGTGCACAGAATTAGGGGGAGAAACATTCGAAACCTTTATTGATAATATTTGTTTGGTCTGCCTCTCCATGAAGAGGTTCAGAGCCTTACAATGGTGTTTTCTCTTCCCATAAGATGGGTATATTTTTTCCTTCTCTCTCCTCTCTATGGTGATCAAGAAGCAGCCCCCCTTTCTAGGGCTTCCACTCTTAGTATTTATAGCTGTGGGCTTCGTGAGCTGGCAATAAATGGCCGTGACCACGTTGGGATCTCGCCTTTATGGTGGCGGATAGGCCATGGCCTTGTCGATCGAGCCGGATGCGGGTTGAACATCGTCAATTCTGAGTGGTCGTACCACTAATTAATCATGAATTAGCTTGAAACGGGATTAGCCTCGTTAATTATCGTGGGGTCGGATTCTGACCCATACAGTTAGTCCCTCCGCTTATTGAGGTTGGGCCTTGGCCGAGCTCGATGAGTGGATTCCATTGGCTGTATTTCGAGAAACATGGATGGGGATGGCGACTGTTACTTCGGTCGAGGCCGAATTCTTTTTGGCGATGACCCTTAGCCTTGTAGAGTATTAGTATCCTGTTATTGGGCTGTCAAGTCATTGTTCGATCGAGGTCCTTTTGGGCGAAGGCACTTGACCTTTTAGCTTACTTCGAGTGAGGTCGAGCTGCATTGTGCTCTGATCCTTACGTTTGCTTTAGAAACATACCCGTCGGCCATGACGGATGGGTCGTATGTTGCGCGGCCGAGGAGAATGAGGGCACGCTTGATACGTGCTCGGCGGTGTCAAAAAAGAAAAAATTTTAGGGCGCAAGGAGCACTTCCTCGGCATTCATAGGTCGTTATGACCATTTCGAGGGCGGGACGCCGACGGGTGATTTGCAAGGCCGCTTTACGGAGCCTGTCATAATGACGCACATTCCTATGGAATTGAACCGGCGTGCGGTTGGTCACGTAGTTGATGGTGGCAGTTGGGAGGCATGAGGGCCACATGTATTGCCTATAAATAAAGGCTGAGGAATTCGTTTTCCATATTCTTATCGCTTGTCTGAGAGAAATTCTGAAGAAGATTTTCTTGTTGCTGTTTCACCTTCGTCTTTGTCCCCCGAACTTCGTTTCTTTCTCGTTATTGTATCAACAATGGCAGGCATTTCTTCCCAAAACGTTCTTCCGACGGACCTTCCGGTTAATTCACCGGTGACCGAGGGGCCAATTCCGGCGATGGGGGGTGCAGAACTGGTGGAGACTGGCGAGGCTCCGTCGGTTGACGAGATAGTATCTCTGCCCGGAGCTCCAATGACTGATTTCACCGCCGACGGTAGGGAGGATCAGGTGGATGAAGCCCCATTAATGGGGGAGATTGGGATGCCTCGACTGCGGGGACAGGGGGTCATCCCCGGCTATGCTGACGTCATTCTCGCTAGAAGCGAGGAGAGGGTCCACACCGACCGTAGGGGATACTGCGTCTTTTATGCCTACCCCTTCAGGTTAGGGTTTAAGCTCCCGCTCCCAATATTGGTGGTTGATTTCTGTCGTTATTACGGGGTATGCCCGGGTCAGCTCACTCCTTCTCTTTACAAGTTGTTAGCGATGCTCATCAAATACGCAGAATTGGCTGGTGGGGAGATTACGCTGTAGCATGTGCTTAGCCTCTACGCCCCACAGAGGGTTCGGGGTACCATGATTCGAGCGTGCCCTCGCGGGACGAGGGGCTTGACTGCGAAGCTAGATGATGAGGTTGATCCTCGCCCTTTCGAGCACTTCTTCTACATTAGGACTGAACACTTAGTGGCGTGCTCTACTGGATTCCCAGAGGCTTGGAATCACGCACGTAAGTTTCTTAGCCATTGAATCCTCTTTTTTTTTTTACCTTTCCTTACGTCTTGTGCTCGTAAGCGTTAACTCGTGTCAATTTTGTAGCCGAAAAATCGCCGCCGACTCCGTTAGCTGGGATTCGCGGATGGGTGGAGGCCGTGCTACCCCACACAGTGGGGATACGCACATGGGCGTCTTTTTGGGAGAGGCATGGCCGTAGTCCTGTGGCAGGTAAGAAAAAATGACTTCTTCTTCTGTTCCGTTTTGTTTCGACACTTCCTTAATTTTGTTTTTCTGTGATCAGGGAGGGCACGCCGCGTCAGGGCCCGTCAGTTGGCCTTCCGTCGGCCTGGTGCAATTGCTCGACTTACTGCAGCGCCGGTGTCGCGCTCAATATCGAGGGCGGCCTCAGTTGAATCTTCAGCGGTTTCTTCTCCATCAAGGACCCGTCTTCGGGACGAGGGGCCATCGGGGGTCGTGCGCCCTAGAGCGGAATCGTCGTCAGATGGGGAGGAGGAGAGGCCGTTGATAAGGCGTAGGGTCGCGTTCACGCCGGCTCCTCCTGTGGTAATTAATTTGGACCCCCCCCCCCCCCCCCGGCGGATGCGGAGCGNTAGCCTGGATTTAATGGCAAAGGCTCATAGCCTGAGTTCCGGTTCAACTGTTGTTGAACTTAGTCGATTTTGACAGCGAAGGCTCATGGCCTGAGTCCCGGTTCAACTGTAGTTGAACTTTCTGGTGAAGGCGCATAGCCTGTCTTGGTTCAACCGTAGTTGAACTTTTGGCGAAGGCGCATAGCCTGAGTTCCGGTTCAACTGTTGTTGAACTTAGTTGATTTTGACGGCAAAGGCTCATGGCCTGAGTCCCGGTTCGACTGTTGTTGAACTTTTTGGTGAAGGCGCATAGCCTGTCTTGGTTCAACCGTAGTTGAACTTTTTTGGTTCGTGGGTTATTGGGAGCTGAAGCTCGATTTTGATTCGAGATCTTGAGCAGCTTAATCGTTATCTTCCCAACCGGGGTATGTAGGCTGTCTCGAAGCGATTCGAGATTCGAGATTCCTCCGCGCTGGTTTCCGGCTGGAGCCCTTATCAGGGATGTGGGAGATCTCTTACGAAGATTCTCCCCAAAAGAAGGGGGGGCTGTTTCTTCTTGTTTGCACCATTCGATAGATGAGAGACAGAGGAACTGGACCTTGATTCGAGATCTTCGAGTTTCATCGGCCTGATATGCCGCTTTGGCTTGTTTATGCGGGGTTGTTCTTCCTTTTCCGGTGTTTCTTTCCTTTTGGTCCATGGCAGAACTACGCGATTTTGCTATGAAATCCCCACAGACGGCGCCAAATTGTTTGCTCAAAAATTATTACATATCTTATGAGTGTAAAACAATACAAATAATCACAGGAAAATCATAGCAAATCGTAATAATCCGTTGGACCAAATGAAAGAAACGAGAATAAGTGCTCAGAATTAGGGGGAGAAACATTCGAAACCTTTATTGATAATATTTGTTTGGTCTGCCTCTCCATGAAGAGGTTCAGAGCCTTACAATGGTGTTTTCTCTTCCCATAAGATGGGTATATTTTTTCCTTCTCTCTCCTCTCTATGGTGATCAAGAAGCAGCCCCCCTTTCTAGGGCTTCCACTCTTAGTATTTATAGCTGTGGGCTTCGTGAGCTGGCAATAAATGGCAGTGACCACGTTGGGATCTCGCCTTTATGGTGGCGGATAGGCCATGGCCTTGTCGATCGAGCCGGATGCGGGTTGAACATCGTCAATTCTGAGTGGTCGTACCACTAATTAATCATGAATTAGCTTGAAACGGGATTAGCCTCGTTAATTATCGTGGGGTCGGATTCTGACCCATACAAAATCTAATTTTTTCTCTTCTAGATTGAGATTTTTATTTCCAAACTCCAATATGTTAGATTAGTCTTTACTATTTTACTACTTGTATATTAGTTTTTATTTAACTTGTATATTAGTTCATTTTGAGATAAAAGAGAATAAAAAGAATATTTTCCATAACCTTAGGACTTTTAGGCTCAATAATGATATAGCACTTTCGCAATTTGGTTATATTTATTTCTAAGTGAATACTTGATTTTATACAAAATGTTTTCTTATAGAGTTGATTAATAGACCTCTAGTCGTATTAGAAGATGAAGATAATTTTCCAAATATCTGATTTCTTATAGTTTTTTTATATAATTTATAATATATGCATATATGAAAGTTTGATTTTGATTTCTTTAAATCAGCTTCCCAGTTTTCCTTTTATTTATTTCCTTTTTCTCTCTTCACCTTTTATTCCTACAAATTAGAGTCCACCCCAATACACCCTTTACTTCCGCTTCAAGTCCTAAAAACACGAAGTAAAATCCCCAACTACGGAAGGCCAATTCTGATAGAGCAAATTTCAAGCAAGACTAGGTCAAAAGAATCACTGAGAAAAAGAGCCTCCGATTTAAGGTCCATTTTCTTTTTTAGTCTATTTAATTCCCGTAGAGTTGATTCCAATATTTTATTTTGTCTGAATCTGGATTTTGATGATCGTGAGTATGAATGAAATATATATCTCTGTAGATATTTTGCAGAAATTTTTAATGTTAAAATTTGGTCGTAAAGAGTAGGTACTTTCGAATTGTTTTACTACACTAACTATGAATTGCGAGTAGGAAAGGTTGGCTTTTAGGATTGTGAGCCCCAGGTAAAAGTGCATTCGTGCGATGTGTGGGTTAAGCGTGTTAGGCGCATATCACAATATCACATAATGTGGGGTTAAGTGCATGTTAGAATTTTGAATCCAGGTAGAGGTTCGAATTCATTATCCATCGAATTTTGAACTGTACAACATTATTCAAGTGGTTTTAATGCCAATTACACAGTTCGGGATTTCTTTTTGTCTGTAATAATTACTTATTTCTTAGTATTCTTTTCTTTTTGAAATCTGTAATATTTTCGTTT